CTCGCAGCGGATAATAATATAATACTAATGTATTATAAAGAAATCAAAGCAAAAGACATGGGGACCGCTAGTCTCTCATTTCTTGGTCCCTTAGTTTAATGGAGGTTATAGAGGCTTGGCTTGATTGATATATTAGACCTTTTTCAAGAAACTTCTCTTCATTTCGATCTTTCTTGGCCTTGTAACATGCTTTGCGCTGTACAAAAAATGACGAGAAGCGGGCATTGTAAACCGCATTCATTTGTCACATTGTCGATCTTAAGTTAATCTGGCTGAAACTCAAAATTTAACAAGAATCTCATGGATAGTTTTGTTTTCTTTACCATGTTTTGTCTTGTTAGAGAGCTGTCACCCGAGAACATAAGGTTCCAATTATCCTCGGGCACATGGATTTGTCTTCGTCTTTCTGTGTGCGTGCTTGCATGTCTAGCATTCTCTCTGATTTGGTTAGATGTTAGAAAGGAAATATCATTTTACCATTGCATCTTTAACTAGAAAGTTTTTGTTGATTCGTTTAACTGTTGCGCTTAAGAATGCGCGTTTCCCATGCTATTATATACCCAAACTTTTCTGATTAAGTTATATTACATTTCTATATAGATTATAGATTGTGATTTTCTGATTTCTTGGTGAAAGTAAAAATACTGAAGATATATACCTTAATTTGTTCTCTTTGGATTCGAGTAGCAATTCGTGCTATTGAGGTGAAGAATCATTCAATACTGAATGGAAAAGCAATAAGGATCATGTGGTCAAATCGTGATCCTGATGCAACTAAAAGTGGCAAAGGGAATTTGTTTGTTAAGGTATGTATTTACAACTTTTAAATGAGATAATTAAATCGTTGTTTGGTTCCCTATTTTTCTGAAGTGGATTCTTATGAGAAGGTGTTTCTGATACCATGACAGAACCTACATGAATCTATAGATAATGTGGGATTACAAGATTTGTTTCAAAAGTTTGGTGTTATTTTGTCCTGCAAAGTTGTCATGTCTGACGATGGAAAAAGCAAAGGATATGGCTATGTTCAATTTCAGTCAGAGGAATCTGCAAATTCTGCCATCGAGAGGATGAATGGCTCTACTATTAAAGACAAGCAAATGTAAATGAAACTCTGCTTTGTTTATTAGTACGATAAAGCATTTTTTTTACCATGACAAGCTGCCGTATTCAATTTGTGTATAAGATTACTTCCAGAGATTAGGTTTAATGTGTTTTCTATTGTCACAGCTATGTTGGAAAGTTTGTCAAAAAAAGTGACCGCATTTTGCCAAATCCTGACGCGAAATATACAAATTTATATTTCAAGAATTTGGACCCCAAAATTACTGAAGAGGTTCTACGGGAAAAGTTCTCGTCTTTTGGGAAAATTGTCAGCTTAGTTATCGCGAAGGATGACAGTGGGATTCCAAAGGGTTTTGGCTTCGTAAACTTTGATAACCCAGATGATGCCAAACGGGCGATGGAAGGAATGAATGGATCACAACTTGGTAGTATGTTTATCCCTTGTTCTACCAAGAATTTCTGTCGGCAAAATCTTGCTGTTTGGTGTTAATCTCCGATATCATATGGTTTTGGTTTGTAATAAGCAGGTTCAAACAGTCTATACGTAGCCAGGGCACAAAAGAAGGCCGAGCGTGAGCTTCTTTTAAACCATCAGTTTGAGGAGAAACGCAAGGAACAAATCTTAAAATACAAGGTATGCCATGCCCCCTTTTGTGACGATTTATCCTGCCATTTCTTTTTTCTGATGGCACACTACGTCTTTATTTAACGTCCAGGTCTCAAATGTTTATGTGAAGAACATTGATGATGACGTAAGTGATGAAGAACTACGGAATCTTTTTCGTGCATGTGGCTCAATAACATCTGCAGTAGTCATGCGAGATGGCAAAGGTATAAGCAAGGGGTTTGGTTTTGTCTGCTTCTCCACCCCTGAGGAGGCTAATAAAGCAGTGAACACCTTTCATGGTAAGTTGGTTATAAGTGTAGATGAATGGATTTTAACAGGGTGAATTATGGCTTACAGCATAACAATTTCATAGATCTGCTGTTCATGTACTTTACAATTTATACTCCGTTCCGCCATTTAACATTATCACATTATCCATGAGGTACTCTTTACATGCATATGTACTAGCTGTTTGTTTATGGCGCCGCATCTACAACTAGGCAATCTCTACAAGAATAAAATTCTTCCTCCTCCTCCTCCTCCTCCTCTTCAAATGCGCATAGGGCGTTTTTTGAAGTCTGGCGCCATGTGCCCACGTTATCAACTGAGTAGACCGTTAATTAAACTTTCAGTTTTAACTGTATTTTACGAAACAAAATGTTCAATCGAGAGCTGGTAAATTTTTATGGTGCGTGGCATAGTCAATCCTATAACTTAGTGCGACGAACAAACTTGTAAACATTCTGTCTCATGGTAGTATTGCTTTGATATGCGGATGTATAACCAGAAATTCTGATGACGCAAATTTACATCCTTCCCTAAATAATGAATCTTGAAGTATCTAATGCGAGTTTTATTGGCAATTAGTATTCCCGCTTCCATTTACTATCTTTATGTTGACAGTGCTTGCCTTTACTGCGTTGTTATAGTTACCTTTAAATTGATCTACATGTGTGTGTGTCACAGGATATATGTTTCATCGCAAACCATTATATGTTGCTATTGCTCAAAGGAAGGAGGATAGGCAAGCACAATTGCAGATTCACCATGCACAGCGAATGGCAGGACTATCTGGACCTTCAATAGCTGTTATTCCTGGCGGATATTCTCCTTATTATTATGCAGCTACTGGCGCCGTTTCACAGGTTCCTTCTCGACCTGGGCTAATGTATCAACCTTTGGGGTTGACACAAGGATGGAGGCCTAACAGCTTTGCACCTCCTACCAGACCATTTCAACAGCCACTAGTTCCTATGGTGAGAAAATCTTTTCTTACAAGCTCAATATATCATTACACCCCCCCCCCCAAAAAAAAAATTCTTACACTGCCAAATCTTTTAAAGTGGAAATGCATTTGTTTTGCATGAGATAAATCATTACAATTTTTTTTTTTGGGTTGAAGAAATCATTTTTTGGTGGCGCCTCTGTTTCCCCTCAATTCACAGGTTTCCAATGCCACAAGGCAAAATAGGCAAAACAGGGGCAGGATGAATGGGCAAACAATTGCTCAAGGAAATCTTCACTCTGGTACACATATGCCACAATTGCGTCAGCCTTTTCAGTCGGTGAACTCTTCAAAAGAATTAAGTACACAACAGGTTTGGTTTTGTTAGCGAATGAAGTTTTTTACGCATTTGCCAAGATGTCTTATCTCTTCTGGGACTGCACATTCCCTCCCCAAACATCCTAAATTTCTATTTTCTTAATCTTCATACCTCTAACTTGTACTGTTTAAGGATTTTTTTGGGGATCATTTTGCATTCCTTGTTTTCTGATATGGTCTTGTGGGGGTGCTTCTTATTTCACCGAGCTTCTGACCTTATATTGACTCTGAAATCGGGGAGTTTCTCATTGTAGTCATAATCGTCCTTTTATCTGAGGCTGAAATGAGGGAAGACTAAGGAACCAGTAATAAACGACAATATGCTAGCGATTATTATAATATTTTCTTCACTGTCTTGATTCACCTCAGAAAACATAAAATCGCGCCGTCGATGCTAGTTTGGTATCTAACATTTCGCGCTTTGCAGCGAGCTGGGCCTACAAAGTATGTGCCCAGTGGGCGCCAGCCTGAAATGGAGAAAGCATCTGGAGTCTCCTCTGTTGGTAGCTCTTCTGTAGTATCTTCGGGATCAGAAATGCTGCATAGCATGCTTGCTGCTGCCACTCTAGAGCAGCAGAAACAGATACTGGGCGAGCATCTATACCCTCTAGTCCATAAACTCAAGGTGAAACCGATGCACTACTATTCTCTTTTGTTGCTTTGATTTAAGTTAACTGCAACGATTTGTCTCTTTTGCATCTTTGACAGCCCGGCTTAGCAGCCAAGATTACAGGAATGCTTTTGGAGATGGACAATGGAGAATTGCTGCTTCTCCTAGAGTCTCCAGAGTCTCTGACTGCCAAGGTGGAAGAAGCCGTGCAGGTGCTTAAGAACTCTAAGACCAAAGTTTCTGGCCAGGATATACTTCATCCAAATTTCCTCTCAGCCGAAGTTGCGGTAAACTGAATACTTCATCCAGGAGATAATTCTTAGTTGGAGGAGTGGATGGTGGGGCCAAGGCTTCTCAAGAGCTGCATATTACATCCTTTGATTTGGGACCATGGACCTTGCAGTATCTCTTCTGCCTTTTATTACCTTTTTGGACAAGACATTTTTTTTCCCAAAAATCTTGCTTAGGCTGACTCTTAATCATTTAGTATTTGTAGTGATGGAATGGTTCAGAGATGAAGTTGTCTTGGTTTTTATTAGATTCAGATGGACTAAAAGGAAACTTGGGGAAATCTATTCTGCAAATTCAAACGCTGAAAATGCATTTGCTCGAAAATAAAAAATATTCCTTGTGGGTTGGAGCTTCTTGTTTCCTATCATGTGAAATATTCCTTGTGACTCTTTAATTACTTAAAGGGGCCAACCAAACACTTGAGAGAGATTTTGTAGGGCGTTAGCATTATCCGGCATGAGTTTTATAGGAATTAATCGTGACGCAATGCACCAAACAAGTATTCATGCAAGGATGCGACGCTTTGCACTATGCCTCCGCGTCGTTATTACGTGCAGTAACAATACCCGTTGAAACCTAGGAGAATGAAAATCACAACATTCAGGTGGAAAAAAAAGAGAGAGAGAGAGAGAGAGAGAGAACATTACTCCTTGATTTTTATCATCAATGCAAGCAACTGGCTAATTAAAGATTTTCAATTTCATCAGAAATACTTGGAAACATGAATAAAATTTTAAAAAAATAAGATAAAGTGAAGACAATTTATTACAATAACCACTCATTTTTCTGTTGATGATAGCATACTCGATAAAAATAGGGCGAATTACATATCCATATATGATATTCATTATTCTTGTGAATTGGAAATTGACGTCTCTGCTGGGGAAATATGAAAAACCCTCGAAATTAGAGGTCTTTCTAACCCAACCGCCAAGTTCGGTATGCGCATTTTGATGCGAGGGTCAAAGTTTGTTGAGGGGTGGTTTGCATGGCTCACGCACTAGAGCAAGACCGTCTAGCCGGAACCGGATGTTCCTCTGTTCCGTATGAAACAAAAGGCCTACCTTTGTCTTGTGCCTTCAACTTGGCCTTTTCGCTGCCTTCCACCCACCTCTTGAGCCTCTTAATCAATTTTCTTCTCCTGGAGCAACCACCACTTGCTCCATCGCTATGAGCAGCACCATTGCCAGGCAAAGGAGATTCTTCTAATTCTTGCTCTGACTCATATTTAATCATTCCCCCGCGTCCTTCAAATTCCAGTTCGACGTGGTCTCCTTCCTGTGTCCGCTCTTGATGTCGTTGCTCATGCATTCTAATCAGCTCGTGCCTCAGGCATGCATTGTTCCACCGCAAGTAAACCAGCTCTTTCACTTCACCTGCTCTTTCCTTCTTCTGCTGTTCCAACTCTTTCAGAAGCTGCTTGTACTCTTGCTCATTTGGATTTTCTGCTTCAATCTGCCAATGGCAAACGCTTTCAATGACCTCGCTAACAGTACTTCAATTTCACTATGCTTTATACTGAGCATTTCTATCTTTATGTTTTTATTTATCCATTTAGCCGGTTGCTTACCTTGGACGCGGATGATTCCTTCGGTGTTTCAAGCTTCGCTAGAAGTTCATTCTTTTCGTCCTGCAACTCGTACAAAATCCTTTGCATCTCGTTGATTTCATCCTCCGATTTATTGATAACATTGATTTTTGTCCGCAGCGCATCGCGGATTCTGATTATTTCTTTTTCTTGGGCCTTGATAATCAAAGTTTGCTCGTGACCGAGGCGAGATTGTGCTTCTGATTTTCTCACTAGCTTCTTAACCTTCCTCCGAAGCAATCTATTCTCTGATTTCCACTGCTCAAGCTGTTCAATGATGTCCAGATATTGGACAACGAATGTCTCCAACCTCTTGTTCTCTGCCTCCATTGACGAAATTTCCTTATCATAGAAATCAACGCGAGCACTCTCCAGGGACAGCAAATTTCGGATTTCCATAAGCAGAGACTCTTTCTCTTTCAAATCACAGAAATGGTTAAAGTGCAACCGTAACACCAACTCCCTCAATTGCAGATCTTCAACCCGGCTTCGTAGGCCATTAATCTCTTGTTCGAAACACGGGTAGTCATGAAGAACGGAGGTTCCTGTAAGAACTCTGGTATCTTTAGGTGTAGGAACTTCTTCTTCCATAGAAGCAAGGCTATGATAACTTTCTTCACGTGTAATCCCTTGCTGAGAATCAGTTTCTGAGGAATTTACTCTAGTTCCTGATGAAGAAAAGGCCTTAGATAGGCTTTTCTTTGACAGGATCCAGGCGTAGATGAACCCAGCGAAAGATACAGCTAAAGGAACACCTGCTTTGAGGATTACAGGCTTTAAAACATCTGTCTTAGATGATGTGCTTTCCATTAAGACGATTGAGATGTTTCAGCGATTGGTAAATGTGTTTCCTGATGAAAGCCAAACTGAAAATGCTCAGAAATTCTGAATTTGATCCTTGATATTGTGACAAAAAGGTTTGAATATGTTTTATAATTTGAGGCCATGTGTTCTTGCTTGTCCTTTTTTAAGAGGAGCAGTGATCTGTAGCTTTATGACTACTCCACCATCATCTCCCTTTCTACACGCTCTTTGGAATTTATTCCTTTCCAGATTACTCAATGCTATAGCCTTTGCCTTTTGCAAATTGATGTTTTTTATGTTTTGCTGCTTTTCTTTGACGGTATGTTCAAACAATTGTATAAGTTCCCTTTGCATCATAAAGGACTTGAGGCTCAGATAGATTATATTTATTGAGGCCTTGAGGGAAATTAGCATAATTATAAATTAGGAATTGAAAAATATAGTCTGATCTTTTGAACATAATCCTCTTTTACCTTTTCTTTAATACACAACAGATACGCAGAGAAGATGGCCCCCACTACGTCCCATTGTTAGATATCTAAAATAACTAAAAATATACTCTAGCTGGACACTTCCTTGTCAACCGTACTGATATTTTCAAAGGCAGAACTGTTTTTTTGCACATCTTCTAATAGTCCTTGTGAAAAATAACAAGAACTCTGGTTGGAGTTTGAAGCAATTCCTCAAAATTTCTGGGTATTGTACTGTTGCAGGACTTGCAAAGCTTCTCTGATGCCTTCCAAAAACATCTTTGCATTGATACAAACATAAAAAATCTTCTAGTTTTTTCAATTTTCATTTACCATAATGCTTGGTGTCTAGTAATACTCATTCAAATCTGAAGTATGAATGTTCGCTATGATTATACATGTTTTGCAAAAGCAATTAGCAGATTTAGTGGTTTCCAATTAGATACACAAAAGCTGTTTCCTTGTTTTCTCTTGTATTATAATTAAAATATCATTATTGGAGCCTTCTTTTAGTGTACCAGTCATCTTTCCGTTTTATGGGCTAAAGCATTGCCCACCACTTGAAGATGCCCACTTCGGTGCCTCGTGGCTTGTGCACAGAGCCACTCACAATGAAGCATAGACGTTCCCCTTAAAAACTCTAGGGTGTTTATGCTTTGCTTTCGCCAAATAATTATCTTCACTTAATCCAATATCAATACCTTTATCTAACCAAAAATGATGACAACTTTGGTTAGAGAGACTGAATCAGAAGACAAAATCATGGAAATCTCAGATGCTGTTGAACTTGCTTCTTGACACGTCCGTAGGCAGCTTTTTCAGAATCATTGCTCTTCCTGATATCTATTATTTCACTTTGACCCTTTTTGGTTTCTTTTAATGCTCCTCCACTGCTTGAATTCCCCGATCTGCCATTATCATCTTCAGTTAACCCGCAATTGTCTTCCCTGTTCACTTAGTTAAGTTTCTTATGGGTGTTTCAAGTTCCCTCTTTGTTTCATTACTTGCTCTTCTGGGTTTCTCACTTGTCCATGGGGATCCTCTGGTTCCTGCGCTGATGATATTCGGAGACTCTGTGGTTGACGTGGGAAATAATAATAACCTCTTAACATTGGTGAAGGCAAATTTTCCTCCTTATGGAAGAGACTTTGTCACTCACAGACCAACCGGAAGGTTCTGCAATGGAAAACTTGCCGTAGATTTCACTGGTAAGTATGCGGTAGCATTTATAAACACAGTATCTTTTCCTTAACCTTCTCTTTGAAAGTTATGCTTTATTCTTTCTTTCTTTTCTCAGCTGAATACCTCGGTTTTACTTCATACCAACCGGCTTATCTAAGCCAAGAGGCTAGAGGGACGAATCTTTTGATAGGAGCCAACTTTGCCTCTGGTGCTTCTGGTTACCACGACGGGACAGCAGCTTTATATGTAAGTTAGATATCTTAAAAGCATATATTTTCTGTCCAAATAAACATTATCATCCTCCTCTCCTTTTTTTGCTCTCGTAGGGGGCGATTTCTTTGACTCGGCAGTTGAAACACTACAAGGAGTATCAGAGAAAAATTGTGAATATGGTGGGAAATGCTAGGGCCAATGAGATTTTCTCAGGTGCGATCCACCTTATTGGTGCTGGAAGCAGTGATTTTATCCAGAACTACTACATTAATGCCCTTCTGAATCGAGTCTACTCGCCTGATCAATTCTCAGACATTCTCATGGCATCCTACACTAATTTCATTCAGGTTTGTTTACTTTTTTCATTCGTCCTCTCCTTTTTTTGGGGGGGGGGGGTGGTTGGCGCAATTAGCATCATCATGTCGTTCTTGGCCCCAAAAAAACAGCATGATATCGTCATTTTGCAATTACATCTCATCCTGGATTAATGGCTTAATTTGCGCGCGGTTAATTTTAAAGTATTGTTAGAGAAAATGCATAAAAGTTACATTAAACATTTAGAATATGTTTAATTAAGACCACTCCCCAAGAAAAAGTAAGCATACATAGATTAGTTTTGTGATATTTTTAAAAAAATAATACTCATGATTTCAAGTTAAAATTCTTTATATTTTGCCAAAAAAATTATTTATATAAATATTTTGAATTTTAAAATCATTGTAAAAAAAAAAAGTTTATTATTTTTTTAAGGTACTGGTATGCTCCTATTTGAGACAATCATGTTCAAAGTACTATCAGATACTAAATGTGAGTATTCAAACTTTAATTCATTATGTTGTGGGAATTAATTCTTTCTTGCTGGACTCAACCTCCTGTGATAAAGAACTAAAGATAACAACTTTATAAAATTTTCTCACAATTTAAATATGAGGCCTCTTTCGGTAGCACCATACCAAAAAAGCCTTTTAAATGGTCCAAATTATTTTATTGACCTGCCTGCCTCTTTTGGGCCAAGGATCCGGCTTTATTGGATTGGCGGGATTGATCTGATTAATCAACATGTTTATGTATACTTAAATGTATTAATTATCAATGAGTTTTCTAAACTTGATTTATTACTAATGAATTCCCTGGAGAACCTGTGTAAAAGCGAATTGTAAATTTCTAAATTTGACTCATAAATATTTTAAAAAAAACATAATTCTTCCCAATTTTATGGGTTTGGGTTTAACTAATAATTTTTCAAGTTCTCCTGTAGCATTTAGGGAAAATCCTTAAAAAATTATTGTTAAAATTTAAAATTTAAAATCAGAAATTATTACAAAAATGTGTTATTATTTATTTTAATGTAGTTATTTTCTTTACGAGTGTAGTAACTAAAACTGATTTAGAATTTGGAAATTTAACTGTCATTTTTTTTAGAATTTTTTCTAATATTTACGAGTCAAATTTAGACATTTATAATTTATGTTATTTCATATGTTCTGCCAGAGCCCTATGAATAATTAGTTTCCTTACTGATGATTTATCTGTAAATTTTTTCTTTTAAGAAATTTAGTAAAAATAAGTTTCAGCAAAAAAAAAAAGATGGTAAAAATAAGAGAATTTATACAGCATTAAAAAAATAATTCTTGATTCTTATTTTTGCGGGGACACTCTTTTCTCGACGAGATTTCGCATCGCTCGTGGGTTCTCACTTCCCAAGAAGAGAGTGGTCGCCCTTCATGCGTAATTGGCTTGCAGGAGAAAATTATTACAATCATTTAGTTGTTTAACAATTCAGACATAAAGAAAATCAAAATGGGGTTTTAAGACTAAATATTTTATAGCCCCTTCAGCTTTTATTATAAAAACTTTCTACATATTTCATGATATAATATTTTTTAAAAATTATTTTTCTAAACATAATATCCTCAACTTATAAAATACTTTAACTAATTAACCAAACCTCTCTAGTTATTGGCTTGTTGGAGATAATTTTGAAATTTTACACAAACCAATTCATTTCATTTTTTTAAAAAAAAAATTATAAAGTGGTTAATTAGAGCTACGTTGAAAAAAAAAACTGAAAAACGTATTGCGAACAAAGAAGAGATTGATACTACCTCTGTCTTTAAAACCAGTTAAAGTAATTTAAACAAATTAAAAAAAATTAGTTAAGTTAGTTATCTGTAATAAATAAATATTGTCTTTCTTAAAATATTCTTACTAATCCAATAAATGTATTGGCTAGAATATTATCATTATAAGGACTATTTTAAAAAAAATAAATAAACATAAGAAAAAAAACAAATTGGGAGAGAATATTTAGAATTAAAATAAAAATCAAACAATCTCTTATATTAAGGACTAGAAATAGGGTAAGATCTAAAAGACCAAATGGTTCGACTTTAAATAATGATCTGGTTAAGGTTGACTAAGTCTTTTTATGTTCCGCCATGATTAAGGTTGACTGTGTCACACTAACCTAAAAACACTATGGATGTAACAACCACACAAGATAACTAGTAATTTGTATGTTATGACTGCACAGCAATGATCAAGATTTTCGATGTTACACCTGCACAATATAACAAATTTAGGCATAGCTGGCAGGCTCCTCTGTATAACAATTTCTATATGAACATGCAACAGAATCTGTATGAACTGGGAGCAAGGAGGATAGGAGTAACCACGTTGCCGCCAATTGGATGTTTGCCTGCAGCCATTACTTTATTTGGCTCCGGAAGCAACCAGTGTGTTGCCAGACTGAACCGCGATGCCATTTCGTTTAACGATAAACTAAAGAGCACTTCTCAGAGTTTGAAGAGCAGACTTCCTCGTCTAAAGCTTGTGGTATTTGATATCTACCAGCCTCTGTTGGATCTGATTACCAGCCCCAGTGACAACGGTATGTACCTGACAATGAGCCCCTAAAACTCATCTACATACTCATGAACAGGTGGACTATTCTTCAATTACATAAAAATGTGAGCAACATTCCAAAGATAGAATGTTAATCGGTCTAGAGGGATGCATTAACAGTCACAAAATCAAGATTACCAATTTCTAAAGTTCACGTCTCACCCAGTAGCACACTAAAAATTTAAGCTTTGCCAACAAGATCATACTACCCCACTCTCCTATGCTGAGAAAATAAAACTCCCCATTTAGTGATTTATACTTCTGTGGTTACAGGATTTTTTGAAGCAAGAAAGGCCTGCTGTGGTACTGGAATAATAGAAACTTCCTATCTCTGCAATGCAGTGTCTGTAGGAACGTGTGCCAATGCTACAGAGTACGTGTTTTGGGATGGATTTCATCCATCTGAAGCAGCAAATAACGCGTTGGCAGATAATCTATTAGCGCAGGGAATATCCCTGATCACTTAGGCATTCCGAATACGACTAAAAATATTGCTCTCCAATGTTTTGGATGCTATGACAAATAAAATAAAGCTCCTATAATTGCACGTATAAAACAAAAATTGAGTAGCTGATAAGCAGTTATAAAACGGACATATTGGTTACCTGTTGCAAATTAAGAGAGTTCAAAGCCGGCATTTGAACTGATTGCATATAGAAGCTTTGTTCTCAACGTACTTGCACGTTTGTAGGTTGGAAGCTGTAATGATTGAAAAAATAAACAAATATTTGAACAATCTGACAACTGACAAGAGATGCCTTAAATAGCAAATGCCTTTATCTCGGATGAAATGACTCCCACGACCATAAACACGTAGCTCATTATGGACTCCTCTAAGTAGTACCTTGAGGGTATTGTAGCACGTTGAAGCTGAAGGAAGCCGCTCTACATCTTGTCCTCCAAATGCCGCCCAAAGAGGGGCGTCACTGGCAACCTGTGTGAAATAGAAATGAAGTTTTTCAACTCCGTTACTGGGTCACAATATCTCAAATAACGCAGGGACGGGGTTTGAAGAGGCGCATCACGTCAGTGTAGGGCCAAAAACCAGCTCAAACTCGTAATTAATACTCCTCCGGTCCTTAATATAGGACCGAATTCTCTAGTTGGTTTTAGTCCTAAATATAAGACTCATTTCTCATATTTATAAATTTTCTCTAAATTACCCCTATAGATACTCCCTCAATCATAATCAAGTAGAAAAGGAAGAGAGGGTATTAAGAAAGATGATTATGGTGGTTTAGGAAAAATGTATCACTTTTCTTGTAATTAATTTACTTAACTTTCTTAATATAATCAAATTAGTTAAATGAGTCTTATATTAAGGACCGGAGGAGTATCTCACAACGTCATAGCAACAAACCGCTGACCAGATCACACACAAAAGTGTTTCCAAAACATACATGTGTAGACTGGTCACGCTGAAAGATGACGCAACCATACAAAATGCAGTGATGATGAATGCATATACCAGAGATTTCCGTTGCGGATAAATGGCATGGTGAGAAGACAACTTTTTCAGCTTATAGTAACTTAAGCATTGAGCGCCAGATGAAATACAGCTAAGACTCCAATGTCCTTGAAAGTTGTGACAGATGCATTAAATATTACTCTTCCAATCTTTAACGATAGAGTTACTTAACCAATTAGGGTAAATCAAGAACGCTAAATTATTTAATTTTAAAAAATGTCATGATCTTCCTAAAGTCCCCTTATGTACCATAGACATATCAGTTATAAGTTAAATAAATTAGTTTGGGAAAAAATGATAAACATGATAAATAAAATGAATTAAGATCTTATATCTAGAACCAGAATCAACTCCCTAACTAGCTTCTGCATTTAGGACCCGAGGAGTATCTAGGTCAACAGAAAATTAGAACAGTTTCTGGATGCTGCGCTTACTAGCTTCTTAGCATTTCACTTTCTGTGATAAATTGCAAGAAAAGAAAACCATGTCCTATAACATTAGAAGAAACAAGAAATTAAGGGATATCAAACGTGATAACAACCATACCTTGTGGATCGTAAAAGCTGGCTGTAAATATTTGAACCCAAGTAATGGTGCACGAGAACAACTAGTGACGAATTTAAGAAGCATACAACGTTCTTGGGGTTCAAAGTCTTTAATCACCTACACACCATAGGCCAAAAACTGAAAATGATTACTTATGACTCCGAATGGGCATCCACAGAATGAGATTATGTGAAATCCGCATATATGATCCGTGAGGTAGAAAATAAAAGTCAAAACACTCTGTTCTCCAGGAATAAACATGATTCAGAAATTAGCAGAGATTTAGAGAGACAAACAGAGGGAGAAGAGGGGATGGAAGGAGATGTCCTGGCAGCAGCCTCAAGATACATGAAAAGAAAGGAATAGGTTCCCTGCTATTTTAACTGGAAGACTACAACATTGGTGCTTGCTAACGATCTAGCACGTTTTTCAGGAAGAAATCCATTAAAACCAAACTATGTAATTTTCTACAGAGAGAAAACCACTATTTTCATAGTAATGCCAGTATGTCATATGACCATCAACATTGATCCATATAAATATTCTAAATGAGTTCTATCAAACTCGATTAACATTTGGTTTGACAAGAATCTTTAAAATAAACTATGTAGCTTTCTGCCAACTGCAAAATCACCATCCACCCAGTAATATCGTTCTGTAATGTGATTAAGAAGCCTATACACATTCGAGTTCTGAAAGGAAGTTATATAAACTTCATTTAAACAGTTGGTTTGGCATTAAACTGACTTCCATAATCATGATGATATTTCTTGAACGGTATACCAAAGTACCTAGTTCATTTAACCCACAATTCTGACCAGATGTAAATCTCACTTGTCAAAAAGCTAGAAATGCAAGCTCTAACATAATAAAGGCAACCTAAGATATTGCCAAAGAGAAATGCTACTTACAGTCTCACACTAACTAACCCAGCACAATTATATTGAAAACATCAAAAAGGAAGGGGCATGTATTTGTTCCATCACGCCACCAATTCTTGCTCATCAATAGGAAATAAGAAATCCAAATCTGCCAACTTCCCAAAATAAGGTTGCGACATATTTAAGTTGCTTGATGAGAACAGCAAAGGTTACATGCAGCAGATAGAAAAGATGATGATGATGATGACCAAACATAAACTGCTGAAATATCTCTGAAGAATATATGGTTTATGGATCGGGGGAAAACATGCATCCATGAAAACTAAAATAAGGAAATCAATTTATTAAGGTTTCAAATTCAATACCTCCCAGAATATCTTGACTGTCCGGCTTCCTTCATTATAACCACCCGTGTATCGTGTGTTATTTTTTAAATCATCAATATCAATATCATACTTTCCACCTGAAAGCAACTGCATCATGGTATAATTCAGAACCTTCTTGTGAAAAAGAACTTATGAAAAAGACATATTTCAGAAGATGATATAGCCCTGCCGAAGAAATAAACGAGGGAAAAAATAATACTTTCAATTTGAATGAAATTGTAATAAAATTAAACCATATGGAAAAAGGATGAACAAAGAACTCTATGCTCTCTATCGTTAGCATTTCTATTTACAGAATTTCAGTGCAAAATAAAACCGTAGAAAGAAAATACAACCTTATCCAGTGAAATACCTGATTAAATTCACTGGCATTGAATAACTTCAACCAGGATGGAGATATAAGATCAGTCAGTCCTCTATAGAATGCATTTGAGAAGGGCAATATCTGCAGTTCAACATAAGAGGTTCACCAATGATGCAGCAGGGATTTAGTATTAAAGTGAGTGACTCCAATAAGACAATAGCTTATGATAAAACCTGTTGATTGAGTTTGTAGTCTGCCATCGCATGTATGTACTGCATTTTGTTCTCATTCGTCACCAACATCTCTTTGCCCCCAGACCTCAGCTCAACAACATTCCATTTCCCAAATGATTCTTCGGTAACAGTGAAATCAAGAGAAAACTCCTTGACATCACCATCATAATGCTGCACCAAAGAATATGTGAAGCTTCCCGTATACTATAGAATGCAAAGATTATGCATACATGTAACAAAGGAATAAAGTGCCCTTGATGGCAACATTTTTCACAATGATGTAAACAGATAGATCCCACAAAATAAAACCAAAATTAATTACTATCAGGCTTGAGAATTTTGAAACTTGTCTTCAAAAATCCTTTTTAAGTTCTTTTTCCCCCCCTCTTTTTGTAATTCATAAGGTCCTGCTATTACACCTACGACCTTACATGACACTTTGATAACCACATAATATTTACAGTCTGAACAATTTAGCATACCTAGTCTGAAGTGTAAATGGCCTAGTACACAATTCTATTATACACATCTTAGCCACCAAGAATCAGTTCTGTGAGTAAACAACATATATGCTATAATTAGACCTAGTTTAAAAGGCCCACAGCTGAACCAGACGCACATAGGAGAACAAACATTGTAGGTTGAAAGCCAACATCAAAACAGTGTTAAAACTTAATAAACAAAAATCCAGGCAATTAACAGACGCACTTTAAGTGCTCATGATTAAATTTTGCTTAGCATTAATGACTAATTAATATAACCAGGGAGATAGAGGAAACAGTATGGATATGTCTCCTGATTTTTACCTTGACATACATAAGATTCCTATATAGCTCTGGATCAAGTGTTGATAACTCATCAAGGAAGCTATATCTCCCCAATAATTTCTGTACAAAAACGTGTGAGAAAGAGTAATCAAGTAATATTCCTTCATAAAGAGCTTTACCAACGACTCTTCCAAGAAACTCAATCATCTGAAGACCATTATCCAAAAATCTTGCAGAAGAATTTGGAATTAGAAGCCTGTCGGAGGTTGAGGTTTGGGAAAATAGCCCATATCTGAAACAAAGGAAAATTGTTAATTACAAAGATAGCTCTATAAAGAGTAGATAACCATGTAACGAGAATAAGAAATGTCAGTGAAATGAGGAGCTGAACCTCCTGAGAAGGTGAACCTTCCACTGATGGATTTCCTCAAGCTCTCACGAGGTAGAGCTCTCAATATCAAAAGTCCAATAATAAAATACGAGACAAAGTCTATAACTTACTCTGGGGCAAAGGCCGCTTTTGATATGTCAGTTAAAAATTCTTTTGATAACCCACCATAATCCAGGCCAGCCTCAGGAAGGCCGCATTCACTCACAAAAGAAACATGGATGGATGACTTCAACCTTGTCCCAAGGGAATTTAGTTGCCGAAATCCATCTTCAACAATATGACCCCGACGTACTACTATCTCAATAGCTCGTGAACCAGGTTCAGAAACTTCCCCAGCCATTTTTCTGGAGGCTTTATCCATCTTAATGAACTCTCGAAACATCTCAACTCTATCAAAGTCATAATCAAATCATAAACCACTACACATCAGAGACCAGAAAGTATGCAATACAATTTCATTTTGTTGCCATATCACATGCAAAATAAATCACTCAACTCAAAAAAGAAATTGAAATCTAATCCCATAGCGTATTGCTTTCAAAACAATGTTTCTCTTCTTTCAAATTCATAGGCTTTATAACAAAACCAAGATTTTTTTTCTTTGTTATCCGTCCGTTTAGTGCTTTCTCTCCTGTGTCATTCAAAAAGTACCTATAGAATATGACAATGAAAAGGGAAAATATGTTAGATTGATTATCACGTAGATACCTCTCTTCAAAAGGGAAAACATGAGGAGTTGTAGTGATAACAGAACCCATACTCGGGACAGTCAATGAATCATCATATCTTATGTTGACTGATGAAATTTCACGAGTTCTGGCAGCCACTGCAATAGGAGGTCGGTTTTTTCTAGCAGGGGAAAGCCACAAATCAGGAGGACAAAATTGATGCCGACAATTCCTTTCATACATTAAATGCAAGCATCTGATAGCGCAGTCCATGAGGGGTCTATTCTGCTCACTAATACCATGGGACAAGCCATTATACACGAGAGTATTGAGAAGTGATGCAATTCTTCGTTGCTTCTCTAATTTAAATGGAACCTAGAGATATCCGAAAAAAGGGAAAAAGCAGGTTTAGTTTCTGAGGTGTGAATCAAAACATTCGCATGAAAAGGTTGGGGCAGACCAAAAAGTAACCAAGCAGTTTACCTGTTTCTCATAGAACTCTATGTCATCAAGAACTAAAAGTAGGTGAGAATATGTGGCACAGAATATATGAAGAACAGCAAATGTTTCTTTAGAAATGCCTTGTGGACCACGCCTCATAGGCTCTATGTCCCATACATCAGATGAATCTTCATTCGTTTGGCTTGGCTCAGGATGACAGCTGATGGGTTCAGCACTATTCGTCGCAGCGTGGGACTTACCAGTTAATTTATGAAGAACACTGACCCACTTATTAGCCCCATCATTACTGACATGTTTTAGCCTCCTCTCAGATGCATGATGTTTGCTTTTTTCAATCATAGGGTTATCAGAAGTGTAATTGTCTCCATGAAAAATGGAATCCTCCAATACGTGCCATACCTTGACAAGAAATCCAGGAGTAAAGGATAGCATGTTGAGAACTGGTAAGGAGCCATGGATTGGATTCAAGACTGAATAAAGTTTTAGCACGTTCGAGTAAAAAAGAGAAATATCACTTAATTCCAACTTTCCCAAGCATTCCAGACCATTTGGAAGCAGAATCTCAGCCCTGCCGCTGGCATCTTTGTTTGCTGCAACCAAAAGTTTTTGAAGATGCCACTGCTGACAAACAGGCCTAAATTGATCTATGTAGGAAATCAGTAAGGAGTTATATCCTGCTTCATTATCATAAAGAACTGTATCAATGGGATCCGCTGAAGCTTCAACGTCATTCTGAATACCTTTCTTCCCCTTTTGAATCCATCCAACATTATAAAGATGAGCCAGTAGGGCTTCTGTAAGATAGTTAACAACATGGACATATAATGCAAGGTCCAAACCTTGATTGAAGCATTGAGGATCCACAGATTCATTTTCATTCACCATTGCTAGGCAGATAATGTTAGTGAGGGCCCAACCAATTGCTGGAATTGCCTTGGAAGAGATAAGAGAGTCTAAATGAACCAAATGTGATATCTCCATCAAAATATTCTCTCTCAAAATCTGTCATCACCTGTCACAATTTGCTCAGTTCTGATATGTTTGAAACTTGGAATCATAAAATAATGTTTTATCAAATTGTTGCTTCAGAGACTAATGGTTCCATCAAATTAATTATCCGTACAACAATAGTAAGACAAATCCCTCATCTAGCATCCATCAATTTCCTTTACAGGGAGGGGGAAAAAAAAATCAATCCGTTGCATCTATTGCATGGAAAGCAGAAGAAAATGTCATTCCAATCTACATACGCCCACTATTTCCACCAAACCCTAAGTAACTAGTCCGTTTAAAGTAAGAGCAAGCAAAAACTATACGGATTATAGATTTTTAGTCATATTCTTCCAATATTTGAGTTAAGAACAATACATCAGGCCTGCATATGTTCAGATAAAATTCTTTTCTTAACTTTGCATATGCCTTGCAGGTGCAACTCTAAAATGCATGATACTTCTACAAATGTACCTAAGATCATCCAAGTCCTATCACATTCAGTAGAGCAAAGATATTAACAATTTAACATATCATGGCATGTTCTGGATTCAACTGACACATGCCTAATTAAACGTGCAAAGAGAAGTCAATTATGAATGCATGGCCATCAACTAAGTAAATCAATGCTCGGAAAGTTGGCATTACTGCAAGATTCATTCACCTCGAATGAAAAAAGAAACAAAGAAAGATGTAAATTAATTAGAGATTTAATGTGTAAATAGATACAATCAAGGCATCATATGGTCATTTAATTAAAAAGAAACATTACAAAAGAGACATTGTTCTAGATTAATGATGCTTACCAATATACCAATAAAGCATGGTAACAAAATAGAGTTGTGCTTTAAAGCAGGTTGAAGAACAGGTGGCAGCCGCTTCACAAGCCAAGGAATTGTCAGCATATATATGCAATACTGCCTAGCAACATGGTTCACGTCCAACATAGCAGGGACGTTGACATCAGAGCTTCTCAAATAGAATGGCCGCAAGGCCAAAGTTATTGTGCTTGCAGTAATTAAAAACTTATCATCTGTCTGGTTAATATTTTTTGTTTGTGAAGAATAGTTATCCAATGAACTAATATATCTATTAATAGACACATAACTGCCACTGGCATTAAGCCCCATGTACTCAATCAAACCTTTCACTGCTACATCAGCATCTTGACGATTGTCATCAGTAATGCCCTTCCATCCTTTCAGATCAGTTAACATAACAAGAACACGCATTGCAAGGGAAGTAACCAAGGTTATATCTTGATTTCTCGCAATGCCTTCACTAAACTCTGAAAGAATGACAAAGCCAACAGAAGTCAGCCGTCGAGCTTGGTGACTCCAAATTCTCCTTTCTTCAGGTGTACCAATTACTAGAGAGCAGAAGTTCCTCTTTGAATCTAGACAATGGGAAGATATATTGATTACAATTCTCACATAGCTCAGAGAGGTAAAGCATCTCACTTGAAAGTGTAAGTTCTCCACTACTAAAAATAGCGCCTGACAGGTAACGGATGGGTACTTAAAGATACAAAACGCTGTTACATCATTATTCTTCAAATAAAAATTAAAGAAAATATAAAAACCATTTGTAAAGTTGTATCAACTAGCTGGAAGAACTGGAGGCATACTGTGAACTAGGTTAAAAGTGCAAGAGACTTCCAACCTAACGCTCTGACAAAGATAAAAAGGAAAAAAAGAACAGATCCACATCCAAGATTAATAGAGTTGAATCACATCGAAAGAGGGTGGTCAGGCTTTCAGCTTAATAAAATCTGCATATCCACTGAACTAACAGTGCATAACAGGGGAGCTTGGAAACTAAGAACAGAGAGCACCTTCAAAATAAATGACTTCGATATTCAAGTTCAAGTAATATCTTGAAAAATGTAATCACATTGAAGACTATGAAATTATCGGAACATGAATCTGAAATCCAAGAATAAAATAAGGGACAAACCAGAAGAGTTCAGGCTCTCCAATAGGGTTGTAAAGCAAATCCTCATTGAGTCTATTTTCTTGCTGTGAACCTTCTGATCCTTAGATGAGAACCGGCTTATAAAGAAAAGAAATGGTCGCAACAAATTGTTAGCAATCCACATTGCTGTCATAACACCAGCGTAATTATTCACCAATGTCTCCCACTCCTGCTGAAGTTGCCAAGCAACCATCCTTGTAACCTTATAGCGCCTCCATACTCTCTTATGACATCAAGGAAACAGTTTATTTCTCAGTTTCAATACATAAATGTACATGAATGGTAAGAAAGCAGGTAACAAACTTCGAGGTTTTGATTTTACACAGAGTAAAAACGAAATATACAACAATTTCAGGATTTCTTATGATTTAAGCAGAGATGTAGGCTCATTATATGATTGATATGAACACTGGCGTCAACTGCAAAACCTCTTGATAAAATTGTTCAATAGTGTATATTTCACATGACATCCCTTCTTTTCTCCCAACAACAAATAAAGTCAGAAATATGAAAAAAGTAAAGAGATGCATACTACCACACGTAAATTTCCAATATATTAACTCTATCAAGTTAAACGATTCCTAGTTGCATTTCGCAGACTTGTATGTATGATGAATGCATCTTAAAATAATAATGAATATTTGAAAGAAGTTGGATCGTTTTAAGTTTAAAATAAAATAAAAAAGAAAGAAAAGAAATAGAAAGAACAATTTGTCCAACGAAAACATGTCGTCATCTGAGATGGGATAAATAATATAGGATTTTGAAAAAATAAATAAAGGAACTAGACTCAACTAAAACTCTGCCCAATTATGCACCTGAATGAACAGAGCAGCAGCAGTAGCCCGTTTTGCATAATTGCGAAGTTCTCTTTCCCGGGAAACCTTCTCAAGAAGGGCATCCCTCGTTATCTCCTTCGCGCTTGCTCCTCTCAAGGATACCTGAACATTCATCAACACCGAGAAGTGGTGCATAAATCACTAATTATTGAGTGGTGACAGTAACGAGGAGTGCACCGCTATTCATGAGCCACGACAGTAAGAATGATCCGCCAAAGAAGACTCATGAATAATTAAGATTGACGCGTGAAAGGGGGGGGAAAAAAAACAGCCGCAAACAAGAACGGCCATTTATCATCAGTGAGACTAGGTTAAATCATGGATGGAACCACAACCGCGACGAAGTCCTTCTGACGATAGAATTCTGCAAACAAGAACAAGTAGAAGACCAACCTGGTGTTTACGAGATCCATCCATTGGAAATCAGAGGATCAGCTGAGCAGTGATTAACCACAATCCTGTTTGCTTCAATTCCACGAAATGTCAGCCCCCGGGGTGTCAACCCCCACCATTAGGATGTTTCCGCCCTTTCCTTTTCTCACACAGATATCTGCTCATTTTATTAACTTTTTCCTTCCCTGAAGTGTGATGAAGCAGTGAAAGGAAAGAAAGCTAACGGAACATGTGAAAGTATTGGTAATTAATGACTGTTACTGATAAGATACTGGCAATATAATACCTCTTCGTGGTTATCGCGCTGTGGTTTAGGCTATACACACGATTTAGAAAAGTTATTAAATAATCCAGATTTTAAAATTCACCGTACCACTGGTGAGATATTTTAAATTTTTATTTTGTATGCTATCTAGCTCTCACTTGTAATAATGTTGTGTTAATATTCTAAATAAACAGTCATTCTAAAATTGAAAAAAATCTGCAAAGTAATGATTATTTAAAAATGGAGAGAGTAATTTTGTAGAATTATTGCAAGTTTTTTTATATGAAGAACTATTGTCAGTTAATATTAGTTATGATTCTTGATATGAAATTTAGTTTATAGTATAGTGTAAACTATATTATAAATTAAATATTATATTTAAAAATGAATGTAGCTCGCATGACTTTCAATGGCATTATTACCTCCCTCCCTTTGTAATTTAAGGCACCCAAGTTCGCCATGCTAGGCCACTTTGCTAACAAGTGTCACGTGGGCAATAGCCAATACAGCATTGTTATTCTACTGAGTAAATATACTCTTCCGCATTATTTTGATAATAATAAGAAGTCACAAAAAAAAAAAACTGTCTTGTGACGAAGTTTTAAATTGTCATCAGGACATGGAATGGGGGAAGAACGATAATTTCTAACTAGTTGTCAAACTTGTCTTAAATGAAGTAGATTTATTATAATCATAGTTTTTCACAATTTTTCAATAAGTTGTTGAATGTCCACCCAAAAAAAAAAATCAAGCTGTTGAGTTAAATTAAAGCAACAGTGCGTGCGTGCGTATGTTTGGCGACAGCGCGTCATTAATCAACCTTTTGCTGTTTTTAACCCAGTTTACATTTTGTTTTTGGGTACTGTAAGTACTAAGTAGGTTTACGTTGGGTGATGTCTTAGGACTTGTTTGGCATCACGTTTGGGCTTCCAAACATACCCAAACGTGCATCTCCACTGGACTTTTTTCAGACCGCATGTTTCATCCTGTTTGGATCCACGCCTGCACAATCTAGCTTCTTCATCTCAAATAGACTTCTAGCAGAAGCTCAAATGCAGGGCTTTTTTTGGAGCAGTAATGGGCGCTGAGAAACCGTTACATATATTTATTAGGATGTTAAAATTTTTACCAACCTGACCTGCATGTTTTTTTCTCTCAGCTCACTTTTAATACTTCATGTAATAATTTAATTTTTAATGCTTCATTTAAAATAGTCACATTATATATATAATTTCTTTCTAATAATAAATTAAATTTTTTTATTTTTAATAATTTTATCTTCCTTGCTTCTTAAAAAATAGTCAAATTATATATATCTAATATTAGATATATACTGTTTAATAAAATTCATGTCCTTTTAAGTCATTTTACATGCAAACTTACTTTTACATTTATCATCTAAACAAGTTTCAATTTCTCAAACTGACTTTTTTGAAAACCCAATCCAAACATAAATCACATTACCCTATCTGACTTTTACTTAATCTGACTTCTGATTGAAAAAAAAATTACTTCTGTTACCACTATCCCAAACACACTCTTAGCCCTCTCTCTATATACCGTTCAATGAGGTGCCAAGCTAGGGTTTTTTTTGGGGGGGGGGTGTTGTGTGGGCTTCTTGGAGAATTGGGCGCATGGAGGACAGAAAAGGCCCAATACTTGAACTTATCATAAAACTCAGGGTACCATGAAAAGAATGAGATCATCATCACCCAATTTTTTAGGTGGACTCATAACACGGAGGTGAGGTGTGGTCGGTGGTCAAGGTGTTATTCATGAAACTCCCCCCTCATGGAAGGTCAATTAATCTATATGTCTATGTAGCGTAACATGGTACACCAATTTCTAATTTTTTTTAAAATTGCGCGTGAGGATCTGTGTACCTTGGTGTTATGTCTCTCTCTGTTTTTTTTTTTTTTAATGCCAAGAGATCGGTGTATTAAAAACAAGACAAAAATTAATTAAAGAAAATATCACCGCTCTAACGTCTTAGTCAAGCACCAAGGGGTAGGGGGTAAATAACATCAATCACCATGCGCTGAAACAATTTAAAAGAGAAATTACATCACAGGCAATGGCCCCACCAATTTTTTCTTGCAACGCATTATAGGCAATGCTAAAAACAAAGGGTTCCAGATTCATCGTTTTCACTTCGCAGTAGGGCGTTATATATGACGTCATTTGACTATAATATTAAGATTATACTACTTTTAATCTTAATTATAAGATCTTGTTTATAGACGGTAAATAAAATCAATAATTAAAACCGGAGGTAGTGCATGTGTCTATGTGTTGACGTCATGCTCCACCTGGATATGGCTTTTCTTGGGGGAACTGGCTGTGTTGGCCCCAGGTTGCGGGCCCCGTATCCAATTTCGTACTAATGTCACTCTGGTTAATTGCTAATTGTATGTATAAATGAGTGGTCGGTTTGATGATAAATGTTACCGATTGTGAGCTAACTGGTAAGGATAAAGCTGCTTTTAAAATTTTTCGCTAACATTTCAGTAAGCTTTTAAAATGAATTCTGCGAGAATGGAGTTGAGGGAGAGGGCAGGGGGGGCGTTGGTGGCGGTGGGTAAGAGATGGATATGATCGTCGGGCTTTCAAAATAAAACTCATTTTGAGTCTCGTCATTGTGGAGATCAATTTGATAAATTATACTCGTCCCATTCTTAGTATATGACTTAATTATTGAGTTGATTTTAAACTTAAATATAAGACTTATTTCTCATATTTATCAATTTTTTCTAAATTACTTCTATAGATACTCCCTTAATTATAATTGAGTAGAAGAGCAATATTAAGAAAGATGATTATGGTGTTTTAAAAAAAACATGTCATATTTTTTATAATTAACTACAGTACCAAAATTTATTAATTTAATCAAATTAGTTAAATAGGTCTTACATTAAGGACCAAAATGGTACCATTTTAAAATAAATTTTGGATTATATATAATTGAATAATTACGATTGACATTTTTTTTTAACCAGCTACGATTGACATTAATGTAAGGCTTAAGAAGAAAAAAAAATATTATTAAAAAAGGGGAGACAGATGAGGCGTCGTCGCAGTGCGGAAATCCAGCATGTCTAAAACGGGGCATAAAAAAATGATGGCAGGCTGACATGAGCGGTTGCATATACCCTAAGATTAAAAACATGTCACGAAAATGATATAGCTGACAAGAAAGACGAGAGATTAATATAAAATAAAGAGCGATATATATGTACCGTGACACGCAGCCAATTAATAATATGTGCCCCCGTCACGTACGTCTTGTTTGGTCGCCTCTCACAATCACTCTCCCATTAAAAAACAAATGCACCGAGTATATCACATATTTCTTCCGTCAACTTTGCGGTTTTAGCATTATGCACGGCCACCGTTCATTCATGATTCATTCGCTCACATGATGCATTTGCTGACCGTGTAGTGTGTCCAAAACCATGCACCGTTTGCATATATATTGCATCTTTTCCAGTCCCTGCTTTAACTTAACACGAGCAATAATTAGTGTGAGCCGTGAACAGCATAAATCAGATATTTATGACAACGTTGGAGTGTGAATAACCTAAGTCTTGCCTCAGTTATATACAGGACACGTTATATTGGACTATTTTTGTACCCGTCATGGCGGTATGTTCCGTTAAGAACTAGATTATGAACTTGAGATTTGTGCTGATTTTCTACTAGTTTTATGTTGATGTATATTGATATTAATGGAAAAGGAAAAAAAATTATGGACTTTGATTTGGCGAAGCTACAAGGAAAAGGCATTTCATAAAACGTAGAAATGCTTGGGATTCCTTCTCATGCTGAGGAAGTAAATGGGAGAGGTGGCTTGCATGAGAGGCCAGGCATCAGCTTTTACTCAGCCTCCGGAGAAAATCCCCCCCTCACCAATTACGAATCCGCCCTTTCTTGGACTTTTCTGCCTTTTTTCTTTCCTGACGTGGAATTGGCCTCACAAATGACTAAACTTTTTTAAAAAGAAGAACAATTTTATCTGGTAATTCGATCAATCGGAGCATTCGTTGTCCTGAGGCCAGTTGATGAATTACCGGATAATTTATTAAAATAAAAGTTAAGATTTAGCCGTCTGAGTGTGACCAATCGCAACATTGAAATGGCAGGGCTACCCTTGACATTATATCTGGTACGGGTTTTCAGGGAGAGGAAAGAGAAGTTGCTCCCCTCCTCTTGTTTGGATTGTGCAATTTTTTAAGAGAGGAGGAGAGCTTTATTTGGTTAAGATACTTTTTAAAGAGAGGAAGAGCTATTTTCTTCTCCTCTTCCCTTCTAGTCTCCCCTCTAAAAGTAAAGTTTTTTTCAGGGGAGATGAGAGATAATATTTTAATTTTTTATATATTCTTTTAATTTGTTAACCCCTAATCAATCGTAAATATTTGTACATAAAAGAGTTCTTTTGAACATCTAGCAAGAGGTTGTCGAGATAATTGTCTCCAAAATTAGTGAGCATTTGTAAACCTTTTCTTTCTTTTTTTTCCTTCTTCTAATTCCAAGAGGCCGTCGGTATTTTCTTTCATTTTCAAGGTCTTTTCTTTGATTGAAATCTATTACTCACAATTTTTTATCTTGATATCCTATAAGTGTGTGACTATGTCTTGTAAATCAAAATTGATAAATTGCATTATATATATAATTATATCTTAACAGAATAAAAAAGTGAGAAATTTTATTTAAATTTTATGAGGCCAAACAGTCAATTTTTTATTAGAACAAAATAAGATATTATTAAAATTGCTCCCTTCCCTCTCTTCCAATCAATGCGAATAGGAGATTATTAAAATCGCTCCCATTCTCTTTGTAGCTACTTTTTCCTTTTCTCTCCTCCTTTTTTCTTGATTAAAATCCTCCCTTCCCTTTTTCCCGTCGAGCCAAACATAGCCGTAAGTGAAGTGGATGCAATAAACTGCGTAATATACGTTGGCAGCCTTCAAAACGACACGTTTGAAGCAGAAGAAAATGATAACAAGACACGTGGAAACCAAAGTGGGCTGCCTTGCAAAATCAAGGAGGAACAAGTCTTTTTATGTTGGGGCCGATCCAGAAAGAGAAAGTCGCAGATAGCAGGAAGAGTTCAATAGGGAAATCGGTGGGCTGTTGGCAATGTTTTAAAAGCCGGACCGGAAGTCGAACCGGAAAGATTAACGGGTCATGGTTCAATCGGTCGGACGGGTCGAACCGTTTGGTCGGACCGGTGATGCAATAATTAATTTAAAACAATATTATATACATATAATTAATATATATGAAAAAATTAAATTATTAAATAATTTAGAAATGTATTTAAATGATCCAAAAGTATAATAAAATCATTGAAAATGACTAAAACCTTATATATATTTAAATTTATGTATGTTTAAAATATTTAATAATATTAAAAATTATTAATTTATTCAAATCAAAAATTATTTTAAAAGATAGAGCAGACATCAAAACAAAAAGATTAGTGATTCACGATTTTAATATCACAATATGTGAAATTTTCAATAAGATAATACTATATGGTTATAAATAGTCTAAAAATATGTTAGGATATTGGAGGGGGTCAATTTTTTTTTATTTTTTAGTATTTTTTTCGTCAGGCTAAAAAACCGTCCGGTTTTCTGAAAACCGTTCCGGTTCCCGGTCTAACTCCGGTTTCCGGCTTAATGGCGGCTCAACTCCGGTCCAATCCGGTTCAACTACATAAACGGTTTTTCGGTCCAAACCGAGCCGTTAACGGGTCCGGCTGACGGTTCAACCGGTCCGACCGTCCGGTCCGGTCCGGTTTTTAAATCATTGGCTGTTGGTAGGGAGCAGGAAGTAAGGGTAGAAACGGAAATCCAAAAAGTTGCATGAAAGGACTCGGATATTGAGGATGAACTAAGAAGACGCCTGGCACGGCATTGCAAACTATTTATTACCAAAACTTCTCCTTCTTCCTGAACCCCCCACCTCTGTTTCTCTCTCCCCCTGCTCTTCACTGTCTAAAGACATAATACTAAAACAGAGGCATTAATTTCTGCCGCCATGTAACTGAAGATGGAGACCAGCGAGGCGTAGCTGGCTTTTTTATATATAGAGGTGCTTATAATTCTGAGTCATTGAGCTTCAGGGAAAGAGATGAAAATGGGTGGTGGTAGAAGAAATTATGGTGCATGGCTGGGTTCAAACTCTTGTTCGTCTGTGAATCTTTTGTTGTTTATGTTACCTCTTATGGCGGTTGCTGGGCTTGTTTCTGTGTGGGGTCCGAACCCCTTCCCCTGGAATCCAGTTGCTAATCAGCGTGTTTCATGGAGCTCTCTTAACCCCTCTTCTTCTTCCTCTTCTTCCTCATCCTTAAACAGTCGTGTGACCACTGTGGAAATTCCTGATTCATCTGGAAAACAGAGAGAGGGGGTTTTGGATTTAAGGTCAAGAGTGGTGGTGGCTGTGGATGATGCTCACGGTAAGGAGGAGAAAGCTATCTCTGATGATACTGCCTTCAATCATTCGTCTACTCCGCCGCTTTCCGTTCAGGCTGTACCCTCACTCCAATTACCAGTAAGACTTCCGGCCGCTCTGTGAATTTTCGCTTCACTTTCATTATGTCATCTTTTTTCCCCATGAATATTGGCTTGCACAAAGAATTGACCGAAGCTTTCCCGCATGGGAAATCAATAAATACTGGATGATATTAATTAATTAAAGCGATTAAAGTTTGATAAATCATATGAGAACACTGGTGTCTAATCCATTCATGTGTAGTTATGTCTAGCTGCAATGCGCGCGCAGTTCACAATAAGATTTTGTCTGTTGGAGCACTGAATAGCACAACTAGAACGCATAATAACAAATGCTTCGTTACTGTTAATCTTGCAAAAGGATTTTTACTGGAACTTTGGGATTTTGCTGCTCAATCTGACCTTCTTTGCTGTCAATTGTACTAACTCCGATCACGGGACTTTTTAATCAGAACAAAACAGGAGGAATCCTCAACTTTACCGGCAGGACTAATAATACGATGAACGAATCTTATGGTCCCATCGTGAAACACAGGTGGGAAAGGAAGATCAGCATCTTAGAAAGAACAGAAGGCAAACTCATACAAGCTCGAGCAGCAATTAGAGAAGCCAAAGACGGAAATCAAACACAAGATCCAGACTATGTCCCTGTGGGCCCAATGTATTGGAATGCTAAAGCCTTCCACAGGTAAATCGTGCACTCTTCTCCATTTTCTATGTGAAACCGTAATTCTCTGTTACCCCGAAATTGCCGATTCCTTCTGTCTTATCAGACTCCTTTCATACTAGTAACTCACTGTCATCTGCAAAATTGCTTATTACAGAAGCTACATAGAAATGGAGAAACAGTTCAAAGTGTTCGTGTACGAAGAAGGCGAGCCACCTGTATTTCATAACGGACCTTGCAAAAGCATATACGCCATGGAAGGGAACTTCATTCACGCTATTGAGATCAACAAGCAGTTCCGAACAAGAGACCCAGAGAAAGCTCACGTGTTCTTCCTTCCGTTTAGCGTAGCAATGATGGTTCAATTTGTGTACGAACGCGACTCTCATGATTTTGGCCCCATAAGAAAAACTGTCCGAGACTATGTACATCTCATTTCTTCAAGATACCCCTATTGGAACCGAAGCCTCGGAGCCGATCATTTCATGCTCTCTTGCCATGACTGGGTACCAACTTCTTCACCCAACACGGTGCGAATCTAAAAATTTGAAGCTTTAGTGATTATTGAAGCTTGTGTTTGCTCTGTTTCAGGGGCCAGCGACTTCATTTTCGGTTCCTTACATGTACAAGAACTCGATACGTGTGCTGTGCAACGCCAACACCTCGGAGGGATTCAACCCTGCAAAGGATGTATCTTTTCCAGAGATTAATCTGCTAACTGGAACGATGACCGGGTTCGTGGGTGGGCCCTCTGCATCGAGACGTCCCGTTCTGGCATTCTTTGCAGGAGGGGTTCACGGACCAATCAGGCCTGTTCTTCTAGAACATTGGGAGGACAAGGACGAGGATATTCAGGTTCACAAGTACCTGCCAAAGGGGGTGTCGTACTATGAGATGATGAGGAAGAGCAAGTACTGCCTTTGTCCTAGTGGGTACGAGGTGGCAAGTCCGAGAGTAGTGGAAGCAATCTACACAGGTTGTGTGCCAGTGCTTATTTCAGATCATTATGTGCCTCCCTTCAGTGATGTTTTGAATTGGAAATCGTTCTCGGTGGAGGTTTCTGTGAAGGACATACCCAACCTAAAGAACATACTGATGGGCATTTCGACGAGGCAGTATATAAGGAAGAAGAGAAGAGTGGCGCAAATTAGGAGACACTTTGAGGTGCATTATCCGCCTAAGCGTTTTGATGCGTTCCACATGATCCTTCATTCCGTCTGGCTTCGAAGATTGAACATCAAAGTTCACGATGATCACTGAATCTTAAGTTTGCGACCTCTTGAATAGAGGACTCGTGACTGTTTCAGATTCAGAATTTGTGATTCTTTTTCAGTGTCCTGTATAAAATTGGATGGGAAAATTAACATTCCGCTTTCTTATTGGGCTGAATTAATATGATTCTTGCTACAAGTCATCAAAGACACAAGGGTGTGATCATCAAAAGTAAAATCTTTGTCAAGTAAAAATTATCAGAAAGATCTTGAACCCCCCCCCCCCCAAAAAAAACGTCGGCCTTTTAATTTCGCATAGGTTTAATTTATCTCAACAGATTTGTTTACATTTAAATTAAATTGAAGCCTTGAGTTAATTTTTACTCGTGTTTTGCTCTTCTTTTAAATTTCATATTGTTTTAATATGGTTTCCAAACGGAAAGAAAATTTTTCGAGTGATGATAAGAAAATATTTTAATATATATATATATATATATAATTATACACACATGCGCATACGCTTCAAGGCCATCAAGTGGCTCTAAAGAAAAGTGCTTAGCATTTTTATGACCTTCAACAAGGCTTCAACTACTGCTTTTTTAATAGTATTTGTTGGCGCAAAAAAAAAGAAAACTATTGCTTGATATTTAATAATTTGACTTTTAACTCCATTCTGCTCCGATGGAGGTGTCACAGCTCATAATGCCCACTTAACTTCCCCTGAAAAATACTTTTTTTTGCCTTAAGCTCCTATAAATAATCTAAACCCAGGCGAGGAACCATATTTTTGGACCGTTCATCCTTCACACATGATAACGTGAATACTCCCCCATCCCTCAAAACCAAAAGAAAAAATGGGTAATCCTGAATCTCCGGTCCAACTCAAATTCTAAGTTGGTACCAGGAGGGTGTGGAACTTCCAACGTGCAGCTGCACTTTTCTTTGTCGCATGACTGTGCGAAGCCTGAATCATTCCATCTTCCGCGTTCCGTGTCCCCCGAGACAAGTTATTTGGAATGTAACCGGGTCAATATTGAAATTCAGTTCATAAAAATTGAAGTTTATGATAAATTGTCGGAATTGACCCTTGCCTCCCACTTGACCATATTCTTGCCCGTGTAATTACGCCACATTGCGTGTCTTTTCCTTTTGGGTCCCCCCCTATTTCGACGTGCTTTTATTAAATAAGCTGCACTGCATTTTGTAACATACGTACCCATCATATTAATGTTAGTTAAGATATGATAAAATTTATGTAAAGTTAGTACAAATTTTGATGCTGCTATTAACACATTGTTCGTTGCTTAATTATTTTTTATAATCCTTGCCTTATGTGTCAACAATGGTATTTTAATATTTTTCATATTTAGATTTTGCATTCCTTCTATATATATTCTCATCGCTTCAAATACTATATAAAAATGTTTAATTTCTTAGCCTATACTGAACATCATTTTCCTACACTCTCTTCCATTTGGTTCCACTTGTCATTACCTATCAGCGTTCAATATATGTACGGCATATATACATAAGACGATAGCATCGTTTATTAGTACTTGGAGGTATAATCGCTTCCCGAATTAAATGATTCTCTAGAGTAGCTGGCATTTACAACTCCCAGCACTCGTGCAAAAAATGAAAATTATCCACAGGAAAAGAAATTCCCGGGGAGGATCCCTCAACCAAAAATTGTCCAAAATGATACGGATCGGAGCGGCTTTGACTTGCTCCATAGCCAAGCGAAGCCACGTCACTGCAAGCGTGGGCCATACGCTTTCTCCTTATCAAAAGCGCACCGTCCTTCCAAATTAGACAGTATCTTAAACTTAGTCGTCCTGAGCGAGCCTTAGATGTCAATACCCCGAAGCATCTCTTAGCGCCGTGTCACATCATTGTCAAGCATGGCTGCCAAGTGTCCCTTCCCCGTCTCCCAACACGTGGCACTTCTAGTTTCAGCTCATTACGCGTGTCACAACCCACTAAATACATGGCGTATTATATATTACACCCAAATTGCTCCTTCTCATGCATATACCAGCACCATAAGAAATCGACATCGTCCAGCGAGTTAGTAATATCTGTTTTCTTGCTGTGTGCTTTTGTAATTGCAGCGCTCGAGGAAGTGAAGCTAGGAGAGCAATGGCGTCAAGACAATTCGAGGAAGAACGAGCCGAGGCAACAGCGAAGCTTGCGGCCAAAGGCGCTGGGGACAGAGAGAGAGAACGCGAGGAAGCAGGGATTAATACGAGTTCAGAAAGGCGATTCAAGGAGGAACGTGCGGAGGCAGCCTCCAAGTTAGCTGCGAAGGACCTTGAAGATGCCAATAGAGCAAGGCACGAAGAACTAGGTGATCGATACACTGACCAGCAGCAGCAGAAGCCTGGTGTCATCGGGTCTATGTTAAGAGCAGTGCACGATACATACGAACACGCAAAGGAAGTTGTTGTCGGAAAGAGTCACGAGGTTGGCGATAAAGGAGGAGAAGTGAGAGATATATCAGCCGACAAGTCTCGTGGGGTTTATGATTCGGCCACTGAGAAGGCTAAGGAGTACAAGGACTACACTACAGAGAAGGCGAAAGAGACCACGGACTACGCAACTCAGAAAGCCAGGGAAACTAAGGATGCAACCAAGGAAAAGGCTGGAGAATACGCAGACTATGCGGCTCAGAAGGCCCAAGAAACCAAGGACGCAGCTAAAGAAAGAGCAGGGTACACTGCAGATAAAGCAAAGGGAGCTAAGGACGCGACAATGCAGAAAGCTGGGGAGTATACAGACTATGCGACTCAGAAAGCCAAGGAAACTAAGGACGCCACAGTGCAAAAGGCAGGGGAGTACAAGGACTATGCAGCAGAGAAAGCCAAACAAGGAAAGGACGCTACTATGGAGAAGGCGGGGGAGTACACAGACTATACAGCTGAGAAAGCTAAAGAAGGGAAGGACACTACCGTGGGGAAGCTTGGGGAGTTGAAGGACTCCGCCGCGGACGCTGCTAGAAGGGCTATGGGTTACTTGGCCGGAAAGAAAGATGAAGCTAAGCAGGTGGCTTCGGAGACGGCGGAATCGGCCAAGAATAAGGCTGCCGAGACGACGGAGGCAACCAAGCAGAAGGCTTCAGAGGCGGCCGAGTCGGCTAAGAATACGGCTAATGAGACGGCCGATGCGACCAAGCAGAAGACACAAGCGGCCATCAACAAGGCGGCGGAGACCAAGGAGGCCACCAAGAAGAAGACCGCAGAGGCGACGGAAGCGGCTAAGAATAAGACTGCAGAAGCCACTGAAGTAGCCAAACAGAAAGCTGCAGAGACAAAAGAGAATACCAAGGTCTCAGATAATGTTTATGTTAATGCATTCATTTTATATTATTTGACTCTTGTGCAGATAATAATGGTTGTTTAGGAAAAAAGGAACATGAAATGACGCAAACGTCGACATGCAGGAAAAACTGAGTGAAACAGACGAGGAGGCAAGGCGGAAAATGGAAAAGCTAAAGGTGCAAGGAAAAGAGTACAGGGACAAAGCAAGCCGAAAAGCCAGTGAATCCAAGCTCGAGGGTGATGGGTAAGATTCATTATGACTTTGATATGTTGATTCGACTGTAGAATGATATTATGCTTGAAAGATAGAAAGATAATGGTTGGAAATGACAGGGAGAGGGAAGCGAGGGGACAGAAGGTGGTGATAGATGTGAGAGAAAGCCGGCCAGGACAGGTGGCGGCTACGCTGAAAGCATCGGATCAGATGGCGGGACAAACCTTCAACGATGTGGGACGCTTGGATGATGAAGGCGTCACCCGCTCCGACCGCCGCGAGAAAATGTGATCCAGGCTTGCCACTGTTAGCGGACACATACGCACACATATTTATAAATAGCAATTAATGTGTCCTCGGTGTTGCTTCCTTTTTGATCCCATATTGCGTTAGTTACATTCTACGTAAAGCTTTTCTTTTCTTGAAATAAAGAAAAAAACAGGTGTTGATGGTTGTTTCCGGCTTTTTGCAACGGGCGTCTGAATCTATAGTGGATCTCTGGGAACGACCAGTCTAAAAGCCGAAGCCGACAAAACGAGCCGAGCCCATCGACCTAAAATTAAAACGAAAATTAAACGGGTTTGCCCGTTTAAACCTGTCATTTTTTTATATTCTAAATTAATTTGAATATTAATATTATTACTGTGTTTATTCTTTTTTTAAACCCAGAAAGAAAATTTTAGGAACAAAAGAAGCAAATCACTCACACTCATTCATGATAATCTTGAGAAAAATGAATGATCTTGAGATAAAATGGGGATTGCGGTTTTGGGTTAGGGATTAGATAATTATAAACGAAGGTATAATTTATTTTTGCTAAAATTAGAATAATAATTATTCTACCACAACTTTCTTTTAATTTATTCTTTTTCTAGGAAACTTGTGAGAATTAAAACAAATGTAAGAATAGGAGAGTGTGCGTAATGAAGACACATGATTTCATTTGAACTCTTAGTCAGAGTTAATTGATTTTTGAACTTTAAAATTTTGGGATGGGGTATTATGTATGAGTACGAGCATTGGAAATTAATAATTGTACAGCACCAATCAAATTTTAAATGTTAATAATTTGATTTGTGACTGTGATTAGTAATAATAATGAATTTTAGTTAGGCCAAAAATAAAATTTGCATGAGCCCTATCCATTTATCAAATAAATTCATGCCCTTGTGAATATGAAATTTCTAAATCTAACATCAGGGGTGTCTATATTAGCGTTTGAATTTCATTTTTCTGTAAAAAAAAAAAAAAATTCATTAGAAAGAAAGACATTTTATGATGTGTTTTTCTTTTTCTACTTGTTTTTTTTTTTACCAGCTTTTCTTTTTCTACTTGTTGACAGCATTATGCCTTGCTCTAAATATGAAAGAAGAAAAGCTCAAGGAATTGAGTATCTATTACTCCTCCTATCCTTAATATATGACCTAATTCTTGAGTTGTTTTTTGTTCTAAATGTAAGACCTATTTCTCATATTTATTAATTTTTTTTAAATTACTCTTATAGATACTCTCTCAACCATAATCAATTAGAAGAGGGAAATGGAGTATTAAGAAAAATGATTATGGTATTTTAAGAAAAATGTGTCACTTTTCTTATAATTAACTAACTTATCTAACCTTCTTAATCTAATCAAATTAGTTAAACATGTCTTATATAAAGACTGGAAGAGTACTAAGTTTAAATATGGTTATATTTGTAATTGTAACTTGATTTGACAAGTTTATGTGCTGACAACGTTTGTGTTTATACCCTAATTTTGATAAGTTTATATTTTTAATTATGAATTTTATTATTTTATGTCCTTTTTTTAAAATATCTAAAAAATAATGATTTTTTACTAAACAAGCTTAAAACCCGCGGGGTTGGTCTTAACCTGCGAGTTTAAGGGCCAGACTTTAGGGGTGTTTTTAGAAGTCTGGCTTTAAGCCCGGGACCCTAAAAGGCCAGCTCAATCCGTTTCTCAGTGCTAGACTAGTCTTTAGTTTTCTGAGCCATCGATCATAATTAATTAACTAAATGATTGGTGACGATGATGTAGGATAAAATAACATGGGCCCATGAAGAGCCCATCTTCATGGGCCTTGTTGAGTCCAGAAGGAAAATGACTGGACCTCTCATAATATTCCCACTTTCAAGCTTGTCATTCTCGTCACTCCGTCTAGCAGCTGGATATTTCGTATTTGGAATGGGACTTCACCCGTTTACGCATGTTGTTTTTTGATAGTCGTCATATAAATTTTATTTAAAAAGTACAATGAATATATAATTTAATTAAAAATTATATATGTATTCAGTATAACATGAATTGTATCATGGAGTGACCAATGCTTTTTTTTTTTTTTGTCTTCTATTTAAAAAAGGTGGCTAAGCTGGATCATGCGTAAAAGGGTACCGGTCAATGAGTGGTTAGGGAGAAATGGCACACTTCATGATCATCGATCTCATGAATATTTTATTTTTCCTGATATTTTGAGTGCTGCAATTTTCCCTTTCCCATTCGTATGAAATATGGAAGAGGGGAAGAAAGCATTTTTCACTTGAAATGAGACAAAATAGGGGGGGGGGGGAAAGGACAGGCGTGATGACAGCTTAGCAGACAATTACAAATAGGAATTGGCATCCTAATGGTCCACTTCCGCTATCGTAGTTCACTGCCATACGGCTCTCTGGCTCTCTGTTCTGAATGTATTGAACACCAGAGAAACCAAACAAGTCCATGTCAAATTAATGGGAACGTGACAAATACAATAATATCAAATTGGATTGATTGATGGCGGATCTAGGAGTTAAACTTCATTATTATTTTTATTTATTTTTTGAAGCAGAAAATACTTTTAGAAGGCAATTATTAGTCTAAATATTTACCACTAATTTAAGATGAGATGTCAGCTCCTGGAACTTGTTTCTTGCTGTATATGATCGCGGGAAACCTGTTCCTTCGTCCTTACTCTGTTGGCCATTTGGCACGGTCATATTTGGGTATGGAATTGAAGTTACGAAAATATTTACTTGCCAGCATGAAATTTAAAAATTTATCAATTTTAATTCTAAAAGCAGGGGGAATTTAGACATAAATATCTCATCACATAAAATTAGTATTTTATTTTATGCTGAAATAATAGAAATATCTCTTATCAAGATATCTGAGTTTTTAAAATTCTAGGCACTATCTCAGCACAAAATAAATAACTAATTTTAAAAAAATGACATTTAATTATTTATACAAATTATAATTACATCGGGGAGATATTAAATAATCAAGCAAAACTGAATATTATTGTATTTCCTTGGTAATAATCACGAGGTCCATTCACCCGCCAGGAGAATGAGATTTGCTTCTCTTTTACATGGGAAAAACACCAATTCCTTAATAACTTAAAATAGCATGTCAAAGTGTGACAAAATAGAAATGTAAAGCTCATAATTATTTATGAATTTCATGCTATAAAAAAGACTCTGCAACTCTTTAAATATAACACGCTTATAAATAAATTGACGATACCTTTTTGCTTCACGTGTACACTAGGCATCAGAATTCAGGAGTTAACACTCAGGGCCTGTTTGGTTTGAGGGGAGGGAGGGGAGGTTCATCCTACCTTGTTTGGTTTGATTAAAAAGGAGGGAGGGGAGGGAGGGTATTTAATGATCCCTTGTTTGGTTCAAGGAGGGAAGGGGAGGGATAGTAATAATCAATTTACCATTTACCCTTACATATTAGTTTATGTTTTTTATTGATATATTATATAAATTAATTTACATCTTAATTTAAATTATATAATTTAATAAAATTCAGTCTTATCATGTTAATATGTGTATTAAAAAATTGATATAGTAATTTTTCATTCTAATTAATATAATAATATATTTAAAATAATCAAATTAACAAATTTTATATGCTCTAAGAAAAATGAAATTTTATTTTCTTTAGGCTATCTTTTTTTCTAGCTTTAAAATATATTAATAAATAATATATTTATAAAAAACAATTAATTTTATAATATTATAATTTTTTATTTAAATAATTTTTATTTTAAATAATTTTTATAATATATTTTTAATTATAATAATGTATATATTTTTTATTTTTTTTACTTAGGATAATATATTTTTTATTTGAAATAAATATTATAATAATATATTTTTATGGGTAGAAGTGGAATATTAAAAAAAATCATAAGGGCATAATGGTCCAAAATTTTGGCTCCCCTCCAAAAACCCCTAATTTGGAGGGGAGCCAAAATGGGGGGAGGGAGGGGAGGGGAGGGACATTTTAGCTCCCCTCCCCTCTAAAATTTTTAACCAAATGAGGGGAGGGGCTCCCCTCCCCTCCCCTCCCCTCCAACCAAACACACCCTCAGTTGTTAGAAATAACGACAATGCACTGTTACTGGGGTAAAAGCACGAGAAATAATGTAAAAGCTATGTAGTTAAGTTACGGCTAATTCTTTTTATTTTTTTCAAAACCAGAAAAATTAGAACACCGGGTGATGATGCTATTTATGATGACATTTTTTTGTGAAATTTTTGAAACATTCACAGAAAAACGGCGATTGCAATATTTCCTTTATATGATTTCTATCATTCCAAGAGAAAAGACGTTAATCCCATACCTCGGTCTTTATTTTCCTCATGGGTCTGATTGACCAAGTATATAATCTGAACGGATTAATATATATTTCATGTAGAGAATTACAATAAGATTCTAATAAAAAAATAATTACAAAACAAATCTTATGAGTTGTTATTAATAATTATTTTTTTAGGATTTTATTATAATTCTCTCTATTTAATATTTGATCCCATAGACCTGCGAATCTGCCAACTCACTTTCAAAATTGTAAATTCATGGTCTCGTGGTGCCGCCTGTGCGTAAGATTCTCAGCCTACCCTACCAGGGGAAGACCCAAGATCCAAAGCCTAGATGGTATTTATTTATATTACCACTATGGCCCCGTTTCTTTTTATTTTTATGATTACGGCTGTTGAAATTTGTTCATTTGATTCAATCATTCGGGACGTGAACGACCATCATCGAATGCGCCAAACTCTGATCAGGCCGGATACAAGGAACCAGCAAGACCGCGTTTCATCGTAGTGCTGGATCAATCACGTTTGGTTTTGTTTCAATTAATTTATCAATTTACACATTTTGACTACGTTTTAACTTTTAATAATTAACTTGGATGGGGACATAAAGTCCACTCAATTAATTTTAATTTGTCCAAATCACGTCCTGAATCATAGCTGGTGTTGAAAACGTGGTTTTAGTGCCAGCGGCAATAACTTATTGTGCAAGAAAACTCTAAGGCACAATTGAGACAGTAGACGGATGAAAAATGACAGTGCAATTAATCGGCGATTCACACAAGTTGGGGTTAAACGGAGCAGAAGTTTCCCTTTTGGGGGGGGGGGGGTTGGTGAGGATGCAGCACACATGCACTTTTTTCTGGCCTAAATCTTGTAGCCGCCAAACACGGAGGAGCTGATATGTTCTATAATATTATAATCAATTAATCATCGCTTGTCCCACATGTATAATATAATTAATTATAGCCATGTTTTTGACAATAGACAGTGAATATCCACCCACCAGAATTTAAAAAGGTAGCCCAAATGCAGGGTCACTGATGCCTTTCCGGCTCAAACTCAAATCCCGACGTTATAATGGAGTGTCCCTTTTGGCCTTTTTTGGCATTCGGACGACACTTTGACAGAAAAGACTGTTCTATTTAAAGCGAACTCGGTTGTGGTATGAAGTCAGCGATCTTGTTTCGTGATTTGCTTCTAATAGTCGTACTTTTGCGACGTTAATATCGTTCAATCCATCCAAAATAACATTTCTGCAAAGCTTGTCCTCACCTTAAACATCATTAGTGCTAATTTTGGTTCAAAGGGCCACGTGATCCATATTAATGTGCCTGTGTATTTTGTTCTCCATGCATAGAGGCGCCAGTTGGCCATTGCCTTTTTTTTTTTTGAATGAGGAATATATTGGAAAAAGAATATTTACAACAGCTTACAAGAGGAACAAATTAAACAACAGAAAGAACCGAAACATCAAGTACTACTAGGCGTTGTTTCTGAAGCCTTAGCTATGTAATCAGTGAGTGCTATGACTTCATTCACAACACGGTGAGCAAGGAAGTTCTCCTGGTTGAAAAGTTTTCGATTCCTAACTGTCCATAGTTTCCAGCATAGTAGACCAAAGACGATGCTCCAAGTTGCGCCAGAGCTGCTTACGCTAAGGTTGTCCTGCATCCATTTCTCGAAAGGCCTGGACATGAATTGTGACAGGCGATTTTCCGGTACAATAAGATTCCAACATTCAAAAGCATGTACACATTGCCGAAGGACATGGTTGATATCTTCTGGTCCATGGCCACATAACTCGCACCTGCTGTCAGCTGTCATGTGTCTACGGGCTCGTTCCACATTAGTCAGTAGTTTGTTACTTAAGACAAGCCAGAGGAAGGATTTAACTCTTTGAGGCCCCGTCCATTTCCAAGCGAGATTCCAACGCATCTGTTCCACTTCCCATGTTGGTTCCATGACCAGCTTGTAGGCCGACTTGATCGTGAACCTCCCTTTGCCATCAAGACTCCAGAAAAGGCTATCAGGAATGTCTTCTTGGCCTGGGGGTCTTGTGCTCCGGATCTGGACTAAGACAGGGGTAGGCAGTATTGACTCAAAAGTAGGCCAGTCCCAGTCACCGTTGGAAGTCCTGAAGTGGCTAAGTGGTTTTTGCAATTCATTCTCTGTCAAGAGAGAAAAGGATAGATTCTTTAGTGGGCCTAGGTCTCCAACCCAGTTATCTGACCAGAATCTGATTCGGTTTCCATCACCAATTTTCCATTGTAATCCCAAATTCATCTCCTCCATAATTGATGCTATGTTACGCCAGAGATGAGATGTGTTCTTCTTCCTCATTTGTTGGTCGGGTCTGTTTGTCCAGGCGTACTTGTGTCTAAGGACTTGAACCCAAAGCAGGCCTGGTTGAGTAATAAGGCCATGGGCTAGCTTCATCAAAAAAGCCGAATTTTGTCCTTGAAGATCCTTTAGTCCACAACCCCCGCAGTTCTTTGGTTGACAGACCTGGGACCATTTGACTAGGTGTACACTCTTGTGTTGGTCTGAATCTCCCCAAACAAAGTTTCGGGTTAAGCTCTCCAGTTTTGAGCAGGTATTAGCTGGAAGTCTTGTGGTCTGCATGGCGTACATGGGAATGGTGTTCAAAACCGATTGTGCAAGTGTGATTCTCCCGGCCAAGGAAAGAGTTCTAGCTTTCCATCCTGACAGCTTGGCGTGAACGCGTTCTTCCAAGTAATGATAGGTGTCCTTTGTGACTCTGTGGTGAAGTATTGGAACGCCTAGATACTTTCCCAAGTTATCAGTTTTCTGGAAATTAAGCAAGCTGCAAATAGAATTGGCCACATGACGGCTGACATTCTTGGAGAAATGGATGCAAGTTTTGGCGGTGCTTATTTTGTGACCTGAGTACTGGCAGAAGCGATCTAAAGTTTGTTTTATCAAGGAAACTTGTGAGGGGGCAGTAGAACTAAACAGAACCAAGTCGTCTGCGAAGAATAGATGAGACAGAGCAGGGCCTCCTCTTCCCATCCGTATTGGCTGCCAGCTTCCTCTGCCAACTTCTTGGCAAATATTTTGAGACAAGCGTTCCATACACAAGACAAACAGATAAGGGGACAAGGGGTCTCCTTGACGAATCCCTCTTTGGGGGTAGAAGGATGTAGAGGCTTTACCATTCCACAGTACCTGCATAGAGGTGGTGGATATGCACTTCATAATAAGCCTTTGAAGCTTGATTGGAAACCGTGCTTCCTTTAAGGTATCTTCAATGAATCCCCAGTGAAGTCTATCGAAAGCCTTTTCGAGGTCCACTTTGATTGCCATCCAGCCCACTTTACCCGTTTTCTTCTTCATTGAATGTATCACTTCCTGGGCAATAATGATGTTATCTGTGATGGCTCTCCCTTTTATAAAGCTAGACTGGAAGGGCAGTGTGAGATGTGGCATAATTGGCTTAAGCCGATTAGCTATGATCTTTGTTATCAGCTTGTAGATTGTCGTACAGAGGCTAATTGGCCGGAAGTCTTTGAGAGTTTGAGGATTATCTACCTTTGGGATCAGGGCTATCTGAGTTCGGTTGAAAGCAACATCTATCTCCCCCCTTCGAAGATTGAGTATATCTCATTATACAGGGAGTCTCCCACAATCTCCCAATGGGTTTGGAAGAAGGAGGCGTGTAGGCCATCGGCTCCAGGCGATTTAAGGGGATGCATGTCGAAAAGGGCACACTTAGTTTCTGCTTTTGTTATAGGACAACTAAGGGATAGAATCATTGCTTCGGAAAGACAAGAGAACGAACCTGGGTAATTACTAGGCGAGGCCGGAGCTCGAGCATTAGCGTAGAGGTTTTTGAAATAATTCGTGGCCATCACGCAGAGCTGCTCTTGATCTGATTCCCAATCTCCCTCCTCGTTGCGAAGCATTATAATTCGGTTCCTCCTTCGTCGCATCAGCGCTTTAGTGTGGTAATAACTGGTGTTTCGATCGCCATCTTGGATCCATTTGCATCTTGCCTTTTGCATCCATAAATTTTCTTCATCTTGGCAGACTTTCTCATAGTCATGGATAAGTGAGCGTTCCAGATCAAGGTCCTACCATGAAAAGGGTTGTCTTTCCAGAGCCTTTTGGACACCTGTGATACGCCTTCTTAAGTCCGCCTTACGTTTGCCGATGGAACCGTAGACTTCTATGTTCCATGCATGGGCCACTTTGGTAAAGCTCTCTATATTCTTCGCCAGACTTTGTTCATTCCTCCATGTATTTGAGACAAGGCTATGGAACCCTTCATGGGAGGCCCAGGACGCCAGATAACGAAAAGGTCTCTTGGTTTGTTGGCCCATATTCACTTGTTTAATGAGGACTGGTCGATGATCGCTGTGGATTTTAGGCAAGTGCAGCACCTGGGTATTGGGTTGGGCTTGGATCCATAAACCATTACTTAAGGCCCTATCTAGCCTTACCATGAGGTTCCCTCTTTGCCATGTAAACTTGGGCCCTACATATCCAAGATCAATTAGGCCTGATTTACTAATGAATTGTTTGAAACTCTTACAACCCGCCTGAGCATGCCGAGATCCACCCCGGCGTTCATTCATTGAAATAGTGGCATTAAAGTCCCCAGCAAGGATCCATGGACTGTGGACTCCTTCTGCTATTTGAAGGAGCTGCCTCCATAAGTTTTCACGTGGAATAGGGCGAGGACTCCCATAAACTGCGGTAAAGAGGATTGGCGGGGTCCCTGGCTCAGAGCTAACCCGAGTGTGGATGAACTGATGGTGATTTTGTAGGACATCAACTGTTACACAATCCCTCCATAGTAACCATATTCCACCTGAGAATCCCTCAGCTTCGATTCTATGAGAATTTGGGTAGCCCGTTTTCTTTATAGCTAAATCGGCTTTCTTACCAGAAATTCTTGGTTCAACTAGAGCCACTACATTTGGCTTGTATCCCTGGAGAAGCGACCCCAGAGTTCGCTGGAACTTAGCCGAACCAGCGCCTTGGCAATTCCATATCATGAAGGATTTATTCATTTAGGCGAGGTGGAAAGTTAGTGCTCCATCTCGGAGTGATCTGAGGCGGTATCATCATCCAGGTTTGTGTCAATCGCTTCAGCAAAAAGGGCGTCCTCATCAGGAGCAGTGGAAGGGTCCAAAGCTTCTGCCAAGGCCTTAGTTAATTTCTCGGATGGAGCCCCAATAGAATCCTTACACTTCGGTTTGAGGCTCTTGATCTGCACGGATTGCTGGATTTTAAAACCCCCTTTAGATGGGCTTATGTCAGGGGGCTTTGGGAATGAGTTCTCCTTCCCAGCCCGTTGCTGGTCGATGGGCCCACTGTGCGATGGCCCAGAACCAGAATGCCTAAGTTGCACTTGTTCTAGGACTGGCCGTGATTCTGACAGGGAGATGACAGTATTTTTGGCTGGATCAAGGCTTGTTGGGACGCGAGCTTCCTTGTAGGATGGGGCATCAAAAATTGTCTCTTTACTTGCCTGTACCTTCACTGGTGCTTTCTCTGTGGTTCGCTTTGTGGTTGTCTTTTCCTTCCAAACCGCTGATTTTTCTGCTTTCTCCTTCCATTGCCTCCTCTCTGTGTTGACATTCCCTTGACCCAAAATATTGTCTTCTCGTGTTATCTCATCTGTTTTCCTAGTTTGGTGATCACTTGCTTCATCCGAGGAATCCAGCACTTTGAACCTATTTCCCCCTATATCATTCCTGGGTTCAACGTTGTCAGGTAGCTTTCTGCTGTTTCTGCCATTGCGCCAGGCTCGAGATGGTACTTGCATCCACGAGCCAAAGGCTTGATCGTCACGCACCACTTTCTCACGCGCCGTGGAGGGTGAGGGTGTCGGAGCTCTGTAGTCTGGCTCATGCGTCATCTCCGACGAGCTAGCTGCTGATTCATTGGTCTTTTGCTGATTTTGCTTGAGCGGACATGAGGTGTCTAGATGGCCGTATCTCCCACAATGATAACAAATTGTTGGGAGGCCCTCATATTCTACTATCTGAGTAACTCCATCCAGCTTGATCTTTGAAACTAGTGGCTTCATGAGATCAATCTTAACAGCCAATCGCGCAAACCGGGCTTTGTCTACCCCTACCGTGTTGTAATCTATCTTGAGCACTTGGCCAATGACTTCACCAATCGCACGGAGAACATTCTTGTGATAGTAATGGTAAGGGAGGCCAGGGAGCCTAACCCATCCATAAATTGCCTGATTTCGAGGTTCTGGGGCGATAGTGAGAGCTCCCACGGGTGCACCGTCAGTAGTGTCCCAGAACCACCCAAGGTCCACCTAGCATTGCATTCTGGTAATCTATCCCATTATCGAACTTGACCATATAACAGCCACCCTCCAGTTCTGTGAGTTTAAAGTTGCCCGTGGGTCTCCACATTTTGACTATCTTATTATATAATATATCCTGCCTGATGTATCTTCCGAGAATTTTGACCATTACGGCAAACTTCATGCAACTCGACATGATGTCTTTCACTCTTTGGGAGAACGTAATTGCTGGTATGGAGCCTTCCAGATTGAATGTGACATCATCTTCCTCAATGGTGATCTCTTCTCTTGACTGCGCTACCTCTTCTGGGTGATTCTGCCCTCCCAGGAGTTTATCTTTGAAGGAAGGGGCATTCTTAGCATGAACTGGTTCAGGTGGGATCTTGGAGGCGTCGTCTTCCATCGCCTCAACATCATCGTCTGGGAAAAGTTGCTTTTGGACTGTAGTCTCGTTCGCGTAGCCTTCTGAAGTGGGCACCACGTTCTCCTCCATATCCATATCTTCTTTGGCTTCATCATGTTCATTAGTTCTCACTTTTTTCTTAGTTTTGTTATCTTCCACACTTGGCGTTCGCATTCCCTTGTTCGTGAGAGGTACATTGACTGCTTGCTCCATTTCGACTCACTCCACAAGAAATGATTGTTAAGCTTCTCTCTTTTCCTCCGTCGCAGTGGGCAACGGAGGTTTCACTCTCAGAAAACGCTTCACCGCAGAGGCGGCAAAGAGACGTGCACGCAACCCAAGAGAGAGCACTTCTCTCTACTTTCTCTCTCCACTCGGTAAATTGTTGGCCATTGCCTTTTTATCAAATGACACTGCTGCTATAGAAATGGTAACTATTGTCTCACATCTTTCTTTTATAGGAAGTGATTTGAGAATGCGAACGATGTCTTTTAGGGTGTGTTTGGTATGAGGGATTTGGGAGGGAGGGAGGGAGGGAAGGGGAGGGATTTTAATCATTTCTCCTTGTTTGGCAACACACAAATTTTAGGAGGGGAGGGAAAATTTTTTAAAATTTCCCCTCCCCTCCCCTCCTCAACCTCCCCTCCAAAATTGGGAGGATTTGGAGGGAAAAGGCAATATTTTGTCATATTATGACTATTATGCCTATATTTTGTCATGTTGTAATCATTATGTTTATATTTTGTCATGTTGTGACAATTATGCCCATGCCTTAAATAAAATAAGAGCAAAATTGTTCATATTAAAATATTTTTCCCTCCCCTCCCCCTCTTTTTTTATAAATCCAAACAAGATAATATTAAAATCCTTCCACTCCCCTCCCCTCCCCTTCCCTCCATTAAAATCCCTCCCCCCCTTCCTCTTATTGAACCAAACATACCCTTAAGCATATATAATTGAGTTGAAAGAGAAATTAGAATGGCGACTCACGGTTAATGTGAGTCATAGGCGTTCTCATTATTTAAAGCGAGCGTTGAAAATTTGATTTTCAATTATTCTGTAATAATGAATCAGTTTCTAATGTTACCAGATCCTACTTCTAGCCCCTCTCTCTCTTTTTTTTTAAAAGAAAAATAAGTTAAGGTATTATGTAAGATGACCACTTGACTTGTTTCCAAGTCTTCCCACTTCAAGGGCTGTGTGTATAATGGTGAGTTAGTTTTTTCTTGTTTTCTTTCACCTGCATCCTGAATTAGAAGTGGAAACAATATAATGCTAGAAAACAGAAAAAAAAAAAGCTAAAACGAAATCCGCGTTGAATCCCGGCAAAAAAAAAAAAAACAAAACAAACGAAAATCTGCCCAAAGACGGGAAAATGGCGCACATAAATGAGGGACGAAACAAATTTTCCTGGAGAAAAGGACACAACACCGTGGCATGAATTCGTCAAGAAGAGAAAAGGCAATGGATATGCTTCAAAGCGGGCCACTGCTCTCTCTCTCTCTCTCTCTCTCTCTCCCCCCTCTCTTATAATTCATGTATTCATTATATGTTTTCATGCAAAGTTTAACCTCATAAACTCATATTTTTAAAAAAATTTCAGAAATATTCTTAATACCGTTTGGGTTATAAAACTCCACTGGAGCCACTATACTTACTTGACCACAAGACGCGAAGACCTTACGAAATCGTCTACACTCTTTCTGTATTAATTTGTTGCCGGGGGAAACCAATTTCGTTTGGGGGAAAAACGAGGGAAGCGAGTTTAGAAAGGACTTGGGAGGATACTCCAGGCTCCAAAGCTGACTGAAAATCGAAAACAAAACTTGCTGAATTAAAAAATAAAGATAGACTGACCAAAGAAAAGTGTAAACTGTAAGGAAAGTCACTACCAAACCCTTCGTGAAATTGGAGGTCCATATTAAAAAAATACTCATTTTGGCCGCAAAAGAAACAAACTCGGAAACTAACAATTCTGCTTTATTAACAAATATGGCCCGTGGAGTGATTGGGTTTGATTTGTCCAACAACAAAAGGACACGTTGCGTGCAGGTGATTTAGAATTGGGCGAGGCGGCAACGAGGGGCCAGGGCCGTGAAAAATAAAACTATACCAGTAAGCCTGTGAGAGATATGCATGTGAGAGAAGCAGCTTCGTCGCCGTTAAATATCACTTGGGCCGAAGGGATAGCTCCTCTATATTCTCCGTAAATCATTCATTCTTCGCCACATTCCTTGGTCGCCATGCCTATAGCCACAACAAGATTCGTCTTCTACCTTCTTTCCGCCTTCTCTGCTGCTATCCTATCTGCGTTTCTCATCATCCATCAACCATCACCCTTTTCTCTTTCTTCCTCTAATCCCCTTTCCTTTCAATCCCATGCGCGCTACGGATCCGAAACCGAGCGAGTTTGGCCCGTATGTCCCTCTTTCTCTCCTCGCAGCTAGATAATTATTCTGGTTATTATATGTAGACTCCTAGACTATATATATACATACACACGCATACAGGATAGCGTTGATTAATTCGAACCTGTGAGTGCAGGAATTGAAGGCGAGTTGGAGGCTTGCGTTGGCGACGTTGATTGGATTCCTAGGCTCGGCATGTGGAACCGTGGGCGGGGTGGGCGGGGGAGGCATTTTCGTTCCCATGCTCACTCTGCTTCTTGGATTCGACACCAAATCGGCGGCTGCTCTCTCCAAATGTAATTTTCAGTCTTCCTTGTCGTGTGTCTCTGTAATTCTGTTTTATGTTTCTCTTTTGCTAATGCTGAAGCTGACATGCTACTTAATCTACAAACGGCGAACCCACGATTCCCCAATTTCTTTTTCTCACCATTTTCTCGGAGACGACGTTTCTGTTTCCTTTTTTTAAAGAAAAAATTGAAGACTTCGTACTTCCTTTAGACTGATTTTAACCATCTCACTACTTTTCAAGTTGGTGCCTTGGGCTGTAATTAATTTTGCCGCTGGGTTTGCTGCAGGTATGATAATGGGGGCATCGGCATCGTCAGTTTGGTATAATCTGAGAGTGCCACATCCGACGAAAGAAGTTCCCATATTGGACTATGATCTGGCCCTTATATTCCAGCCCATGCTTATGCTTGGAATCACTGTGGGCGTCGCCCTCAGCGTTGTCTTCCCCTATTGGCTCATCACTGTTCTCATCATTATCCTCTTCATAGGTGTCTGGCCGATTTTGTTCTTACTCAAACTCCTTAGATGCTTTGAATTGAATTGGACGGCTTTTTTGCCTCAAAATCTCTGCTGACCCAATATTCTTTTTCGTTTTTTTTTTCTTCCCCCGATTTTTGTTTGGTCGCAGGAACTTCATCCAGA